GTATTCGGTAACCTCTACTTGGGAGATAAAAATCGGCCGATTTTATTTTTTAGCCGGAAATCATCGGTCGTTTCTTAGGCGCAGGGCCTCTTAAGTTTGTTTTAATATTCCATTATGGTAGATTCAAGATTAAAACATATCCCGCTAATTGGTATTATTTTGGTTCAATATGAATGCATAGAATTCAAGAGTGTAGACAAACATGTATGTATATGTGAATGACCGTCTGGCTGCCTTGCTAACTGCCTGCCTGCCACATTGTCAGACTGACTGACTGACTGAGTAACTAAAAAATTGTCTTACTGGCTGACTGACTTACTGACTAACTGACTGACTGACTGACTGAATTACGGACTGACTGACTGACTAGTTGACTGCCTGCCTGCCTGCCTGCCTGCCTGCCTCATTACCTGCTTGCCCTTCTGTCTGCCTGTTTGCATGCCTGCCTGCCTCACTGCATGACTGTTTGAATGCCATCTTGACTAACTGACTGACTGACTGTTGGACTAAACGACTGGCTGTCTGGCTGACTGGCTGCCTGCCTGCCTGACTACCATCTCGAACGATAGCCTGCTGGGCTGACTGAGTGGCTGACTAGCTGATCTCGCCTGACTGACTGCTGCGTTGATCGACTGGCTGACTAGCTGCCTGCCTGCCTGCCTGACTGACTGCCTGACTATCATCTCGAACGATTGCCTGCTGGGTTGACTGAGTGGCTGACTAGCTGCCTGACTAACTGACTGACTGACTGTCCACCTACTGACTTACTGACCGAGTGACTGATTGAATGTCTAAGTGCCCGTCTTACTGACTGACTGCCTACCTACTTGACTGATGGACTGCGTGACTCATACCCGACTGACCTGACAGACTGACTGACTGACTGACTGGAGTGTCTTCCTGCCTGTCTAAGTGAGTAACTATGACTGACTGCATGCTTGGCTGACTAACTTCCTGGTTGCCTTACTGACTGTCTGTCTGTCTGCCTGCCTGCCTGACTCACTAAAATTTTGGTGGTTTCTAAACTATGAGTTGAAGGTTCAAATCATATTCAGCTATCGGTTACTTTTGCAGATCACAGCTAATTGTTTACAACCGTGTCATTGCTCAACCGAGAAAACAAAAACCAAAGCGACTCAATGTCTCTATGAAATAGATAACATCATTACCTGGAAATATTGCTGGTTTTCAGTGCCACGCCATTCAAAATAGATCAAAATAAAAATAAAAACCGTTCAATAGATAAAGTCCAGAATCTGGGAAATGAAAGAAGGTAAATATGCAAAGACTCTCCCCAAGATTCTAATCACAGCAATTTTTCTTATTCAAGATATGCGGAGAAATTTTTTACCCAAATTTATAGAGATTTGTATGGAGACGCCATGCTGGTGCCCACCATATGGGCACCAACATAGCGGCCGGAAACCAACAGAAACATCTGTTACTGTGTTTTGCTACAAAAGCGTGAATTTATCCTTCGAGGAACTCTAAAACATTAAAATAATACTTTTTCTAAAACATGGACTATTAAATAGCCAAATTCCCCGAGATAGGTCACTTTTTGACCATCATGACAGCTCTCTCGGCCGTCATGTAAATACCGCGTCACGCAAAAGCTTAGAAATTCAAGCGTAGTGTATCACAAAACCAAGAACCCATTCGGAGCGAAAATTTGTATGAATATTAGTTTTCAGCTGCTCCTATACATCATTAAAGTAAAATTTCAGGAAGATCAATAGTTTTGTAGTTTGAATTTTAGTAACGTCACGTGAAAACCAGCTATAGTAAACTCAAATTACGAGTCAGCACGATTGCTGAAGACGAAAATGAAATCGCAAATACAAGCATTCTGGCATTTCTATGAGCAAAAAGTTCCTTTAGATGATAATTTACGTGCAAACTGAACCACTTGGGAGTTGGCAAGTTGAGTTTCGGGTTCAACTCTTGTAAATCTCGAAGACGGAAACTTTAAAGTGCCTATGAAATACAAAATAATTCCTGCTTATTTGAAAGGCTTTTCAGAGTAAAGAAGAATGGCGTTTTCCTTTTTGGAATACCTTTTTTTCGTTTTAGAGATATTCACGTTTTTGCATTATGCAAATGAGGAAAGTGATGACATCATACGGTGGTTCCACTAAAACAGCACAACACTTAATCGAGAATAACTCTAGAAATATTAACACAGTGTTCTTTAAACTTGGCACCAGCAAAGTACATCGCAAAAGAAACAGAATGACACCTACTATGTTGTTGCCATGGCAACACTCTTGGCTCCAGTCTCTTTNGTAGTGTATCACAAAACCAAGAACCCATTCGGAGCGAAAATTTGTATGAATATTAGTTTTCAGCTGCTCTTATACATCATTTAAGTAAAATATCAGGAAGATCAATAGTTTTGTAGTTCGAATTTTAGTGACGTCATGTGAAAACCAGCTATTGTAATAATAATAATAATAATAATAATAATAATAATAATAATAATAATAAAAATAATGATAATAATGATAATAATGAAAGTAGCTCCCAGAAAACTAGTGCTCTGCAATCTATACGTCTGACTGAGTGCCAGTGGCACCACTGAAACGCAAAAGGTCTGAGTAGAAATTATCAGATCTGCCGTTTGCATTATCCGGTGTTTGACATGGACCCCCGGGTCAATATGGGACTTTCTAAAGCCAGCATCGAGTTGTTGTATGGCCTGCGGTCATACCTTGACTTTCATTTGAGGTTTGTCGTCTGGAAGGTTCCTCGGTTGCTGATATGCAAGATTTACGAATCCAATATTTTCCTCCGTGTCCAAGCTCCGTGTTCGAGCATTGGAGTTCAACCGTCTTCTAACATTGCAAAAAAGAAACATAATATGCATTGATGTTGGCCAGGTAAACAACTGATGAGTTTCCGAGAAATGATATAATCTGTAGATTTAAGCCAACCTAAAAGCGTAGCTCCTGGGCGAGTTGTTCAGAGGCCGATTAAGCTAACCCGGGAAAAGGTAAAATTTTGATTTGAGTTTTGTAACTTTGCGGTGAGGTTTTCTGTATATTGTTTGGCCTTCTGTTTTGAGCTTTAATAATCACCATATACACAAAACAAAGCAGCAAAAAACATTTGTATAGTGGAAAAGTTATAATTCCGTTAACTTTTAATTCTGGGTTAGTGTTAACCGGCTTCCGAACAATCCTGCCCTGTTTTCAACAAGTTAACCTGACATGAGTCCCCGATCCAATCGAAAACCAGCACTTGGTCAGTGGTCAACAATATAAAAAAAAACGTGACCTCTATGAGCTATAAACTTAAGCCCGCGATATGGGCACGTAATACTGATCAGCGGATACCTTGGTTTGATAGGTGTCAATTGATCATAACATGGATGCTCAATATCAAAGAAGTACACGGTAAACCAAGGCTGCATGTCTCTGTCAACCTATTATTTGGAGTATGCCCGCCATGTTGCGCGACTCCGTCGTCGCCGTCGTGCGCACGCGCCCACGCGCCCACGCGCAATACCGCTAGCCATGATAACCATGAGAAAATCAACTCCTGGGTTTCCTTTTCTTTGCTATACGAGTTTGGGGCTCCACCTAGCGGCCCTTCGGGCCGCCAGAGCTGCGCTATAATTGTTCAGGACGAGAACTTAATGTAAATTAGCACGTTTCGTTTGTCAGAGTATTGTTTTCAGTTGCCGTATGTTTCTGTGAGGGTTATTCCACTAAAAAAAAATGAATTCAAACTCGAATTTTGTTAACGAGGACAACCCTCGACAACATAAAGGTTTTAAAAGCGATAAACTGATGCTTAATAAAGTATAGTAATAGTAATAGTATATCTTTATTGCATCTTACTCCCCAAGAGGTCTACTGGTAGTTATGATAAAGATTTGAACATTAACTAATAAAAATACAGAATAACATTTCCCTTATCCGTATAAAGTGGTCATTAATGAAGTTTTGAATGATTGACCAACTGACAGCCTGCCCACCTGCCCGACGGACTGAATGACTGACTGACTGACTGATGCATTGATTAATTGATCCCGTTTGGAACCCTTCAATTGAGAACGAAAAACTGCCCAAATCTATTAACAGTTATCCGCTTGTTTTTTGCTTCGCTCAACTCTAGGCAGTGTAGAAGAATCTGTAATTTCTACTGGCTTTAGCAGGTGAATGTCTTGAGATCCGCATTTACTCAAGAAGGAAATAAGAGTTCTATACTCCTACACTGTGGAAATGATGTGGGAAGGTGATTGTGTAGAGTTTCTTGTTGCAGTTTGATACCAATTTACCAAGGCTCTTCTCGGCGTAAGATGATGGTCTTTTACGCTATGCTACGCTACACTATGCTATGCTATACTACGCTATGCTATGCAAAAATATGTTATGCTATGCTTTTCTCTGTAAATAGTAATGTAGATAAAGGACCACCCTAGTCAACGTAGTGTTAACTTAGTGATATCCTCTGTATTGCTATAGTTATTATTATTATCATGATCATGATCATGATCTTTATCATTATCATTATCATTATTGTTATTGTTATTATTATTATGATCATGATCGTGATCGTGATCGTGATCGTGATCGTGATCGTGATCGTGATCGTGATCGTGATCGTGATCGTGATCGTTATTGTTATTGTTATTGTTATTATTACCTCTTACTAACCGAGTTCAAGGTCCGTATTGAAAGTTATGGGCCGAGTTTTTCGGCTCGGATTTATGGCCCAAGCGCGAAACGCGCGGGTCATAACACGAGGTTAGTAAGATATTTTTTTATATCTCTGGGTTCAAAGAGATGGGGAAGATTTCAATCAAGGAGAACAGACATTGATGATTGATGCGCGTAAAATCTTAAACGCAAGGACAATTTATTGGTTTCCACAAAAAAATGACTTGAGTCGTCAAAACGTTCATTCAAACTTCGAACTCATAAGTCCAAGATAATTTACAATTACAACAGTTCAAGTTTACAAGATTTTCTGTAACGAATAATGGTAAAACGTTCTGCAAGTAACTCCCATTGTCGTCAAGAGTATTATCAAATGCCCGAAATATCAAGGGCAAAACGTAGAAAGTGTGAACTTTGTTCAATGTCAGCGTCAAGTGAATGAATGAATTTTCTCAGTGCGAACGAAAACAACATGAGAAAAAATTTTCAACGATTATAATCTAGTTTTTGGTGTTTTGCAGCGTTTTCAAGTAAGCTGTCAGATGGATCACTCGGTACAGACTAAACAAGATTAAAGACGCAGTTGGAAATTGAGCCGATGTTTGCTAATGCGCATGCGAAGAGAGAAGGATGTGGCATCGCTTGGAAGCTGAAGCTTCTTTGTTGGGCAAATGAAGACTGCTGCGAGCTTGTTCCATCAACAGAGACAAAGTCTGGTGCATTTGGACTTAAACCCGGTCGAGAAGCTTGTTGTTGTAAGATGTCTGACATTTTTCGCTGGTGTGTTATGGAGGCAGACTTGTACGAGCTGAAACTTTGCAGATTTTTATGCCCGCTCAACTCTACTACGGAATTTTCTGGAGTTCCACCACCAAGTAAGCAAGGAATGCTTGTCTCCCGAACCGAATGGTTAGCAATCTTCTTTCCACAAGCCCGTAGACCGGCCTTTTGAGCTGCTTTAGGCAAAAATTTACCGATCTGTTTTTTTACGGAGTGGTGACAGCTTATATCAGGCATTTAGTTTCTCACGCCAACCTTTGTGATTTATGGCAAGGAAAAACGGTTAACTTAGAGCCTTTGCCTTTTCCGGACGATGGCCTTTAAAAAAGCTTAAAGAAGCGGACCGGGCATCTTTCTGTTCTCGTTGCTAACATTTTTGGGTTGAACTGTCGCTGGTGAGCACCTTCCACGTCTCTCCTGGTCTTGCTCCCTCTTTCTGCCAGCCAATCCAAAACTTGTTTGCCTGTTTCTGGATTATTTTGAAGCTTCAAGTCGCCCCAGCACAGTTTTCGGCTTTCATCCCTTGCCCGGAAACCAAAGTGAAGGGAAACGAACCACCACAATGTGCGCTGAAGTGCTTCGGGGTTGGGGCAACCAAATTCGCCGCTCTTCAACTGCTTCCGTCGTTAATTCAAGGCACGCATTTGGCATGTTTTCTCGTCCTTGTTTCACGAGATTTTTTCTCCTGGCTGCCAACACTTCCCTGGAACGACGAAATTCTTCATCTTGAAGGATATTGAAGGGCAGCTTTAACTCTTTAAGATGGCGCTGTATGCTTTTTTGAAAGCTTGAAATACGGTCTGATTCGTATTCGCCGCCATTTTGCTGGCGGATATCTTTAAAGAACTTGCCAAGGAGCTTGTCGAGAGTAGCAGCAGGTATGTTTATTACATTAAAATTTCCATTGACCCGCTGTTCGCAAAACGCTTGAATTTTTTCCACTCGTACTTCGCCTTTTTCACTATGTTTGACGACCTTTCGGCTGCAATGAAGTTATCTAGTTCTTGACTAGAATTATCTTCTTCGTGCTCTCTTACTATAAAAACTCTAAGAAACCAACTAGGAAGTTTGGGTTATCAGTTTCTGTGTTTTGTTCGTTTTTTTCACTCGCGTACTTTTCCTATACATGTTTCAAAGTTTTCTTCAAGAGACATTTTGCATGGCGACTAAAACAAACTTTTAAATTTAGCGGGCCGTAGAGTAGAGTACAGCTTGCTAAATTGACGAATCACAGCGCGAGTACTAGCTGAGAGATATAATTATTATAACTACTGTTATTATTATTGTTGTTGTTATTGTTGTTGTTGTGGTGGTGATGGTTGCTGTTACGGTGGCGCTGGCGGTGCCGTTACCTTTATTGTTATTGTTTTCGTTATTATTAGTTCGTATAATGTGATTGTCCGGGTGAGGGTAGCTCTGAAAAGACCTGTTTTTGATGACTGACGTTTCGACAACCTGAGCGGTAGTCATCTTCAGAGTCAAGTGGATAGTGTTTGTCAGTCGATGATGATATAAGTTTTGTCCGTTAAACGTAATTGGTCATTTTAGCCATGATGGCATTGGCTGAAAGACTTGTTTGAAGTTTGTCATCAGTCATTGGTCAGTTTCGATCCGTCTAATGTTAGTCAATTTGGTCGGTTTTAGGTCTGTCTATTGATAGTCAAATTAAGTCGGTCTGTTAAAAGTCCATTTTGTCAGTTTCTTTTCAGTCCAGGATAAGTCGTTTGTAAGGCGCCGATAGTTGTTGACATCTGTTAAGTGGCGTTTGTTCTAGGTTAGTGTACCAGCTTTCCAGAGTCAGGCGTTGAAAATAGTTTGTACTGTAGGTTAAGCACTGAGCAAAGTCCCAGTCAATGGTGTGCTTTGTCCGTTGATGATGTACAGCAATGTGAACGGACGCGTTGAACGGACCGGACTTATAACATCATCGACTGACGAACACTTGACTTTGAAGATGACTTCCGCTCAGGTTGTCGAAACGTCATCAGTCAACAACAACAGTTCTTTTCAGAACTACCCTCATCTGGACGATCACACTATACGAACTACTGATACTCCTGGGTTCACAACATTTACTATATTTATTATCGTTATTATTATTATTATTATTATTATTGTTATTGTTATTACTATTATTATAAGTCCTTGAAGTCTTGCCGCTTTTAACTTATGGTGCCGAGTGTAATTCATAAGCCTAAGGTAGTCATAAGTCTCCTGGATTACTCGATGGATAGGGACCTCCTAATTATGTGAGCAGTTCCAAGGAGGACGGTCTTCTGTAGCTCTGTTATTCTGATATTGCCTGGGATCTTGCCGATGTAGCTTTCTGTTCCCTTTTTGACAAGTCCGAAAGCTCCAATGATCATTGGGACAGTTGCTGTTTTCATTCCGCACGTTTTCTCGATTTCAATCTTAAGATCTTTGTATTTTGTGAGCTTTTCCATTATTTTTAAGGAGGTGCTCATTTCTGTGGGGATAGACATATCGATAAGCAGACAGGTTCTTTCCTTCTTGTCTTTCACCACTATGTCTGGTCTGTTTGCCTTTATCTCTTTGTCAGTTTGGATTGGCGTGTCCCAAGGTATAGTCGCTCTTTGGGTTTCTGTCGCAGTAGCTGGTTCATGTTCTTCCAAAAACCGAGGTCACCGATGATTATTATTATCATGATTATGATTATGATAATGATTATGATGGTTATTATTACCATGATTATGATTGATAATGATTATGATTTATGATTTATGTGATTATGATTATGATTATGATTATGATTATGACTATGATTATGATTATGATTATGACTATGATTATGATTATGACTATGACTATGATTATGATTATGATTATGATTATGATTATGATTATGATTATACGCAAAGCTTTGCGAGGAAATACTATATGATGCTATTCTATGGTATGCTAAGTTGTGTTGAACTGTGCTAATCTAGGGTATGTTTTAACATTTTATTTCACTCCATTCTATTTAGTGCTAAGATACTTACAGCGAAAAAACGGTGGCGAAAACAGTCAATATAAAGAGAATAAGTACTCCTACGACGATTGCGATTGGTAAAAATATTTTTTGCCCCGCGGGATAGCTCGTCGTTGGTGTTCTTTTATCTGCGATAAAATTACAAGACATCAGTCAGGTGAATACTGAAAAAAAAAAAAATGAATTAATTAATAAATAAATAAATAAATAAAAAAGAAAGAAAGAAAAAGGAAAAAAAAAAAACATATCTCGTATCTCCTGTAAGGTATCTCGTATCTCAAAGCTTTGAATGACAGTTCAATAATTGTTCTTAAGAAAAAAGAATCATAAAAGTAAAGTGTGTCTATGGGTGGGGTTGCATGCTTGGGGGGTGACATTGGTTTTGCATAATTCGCTCATGAAACTAAACGGATGGGCAAAATGAAAATAAATAAATACTGCACAACTCAACGCGGGTAGGCGCGGGGGTAGGGGAGGGGGGGGGGCAAGCGGTGAGGCCTGGTACCGAGTTTCTATGATCGCCCCGGTTAAAAAATTTGGCCGAGCGAGACTGAGTACTGATTTGTTGAAAACAAACCTGAGAGACCTCCGTGAACGGGAGGCGAATGTAAAGTTTTGTAAACGTCGTGGACATTTAACGTTCAAACATCTAAGAAAAGTTCCAGTTGCCCTACATCTCAATCTTGGACATTTGGAGGCATCGGGGATAAATATTCCAAAGTAAACTTGCGAACGGAAGCCCCACTGCGAATTGCAAAAACGTCGATCGTAATTCAGTGTGAGCCAGATTGATGGCATCATGGTGTTTAATATTTCATTGGAGCTTTTTTTCTTTCTTTTTTTTTTTTGTTTTTGTTTTTGTTTTCTTTTTGCCAATTTTAATTTACAAAACACAATTCTACAAACATTACAATACAGGTCTCATTACGCTACTCTACTTNTTTTTTTTTTTTTTTTTTTTTTTTTTTTTTTTGTAGCGGTATCTTACCAATGGGATAAATTGAAGTATTTCTACATTTCCGGATTCCCTAATGGCAAGGGTTGCTTTTTTTTTTGAACAGCTTAACAGCTTCGTAACCCTTTTTGTTTTCACTTAACTGACAGGTTTAAAGAAGATTTCATAGTGACTGCAGTTGGGTATCGCGCTTTTCTGTTGCGTTACTACAAGACGTCTGTTTCAGTTTCACGCAAAGCATCTGGTATCATTTATCAACGTGAAAACTGGATAGGTCCCTGGACAGAATTTGGGAATTTATCACTATCTCTTTAGGTACAACATAATAGTTGTGTTGATTGTTTTTGTTTCTTCATGATCATCCTCAGACTTTCGTTTTGATATTCTTAACTTAACGGCCAAAGTAATAGGTCTAATTAAGAATGGCTGACTGTTAGGATCGAGAAACGCCGGTCAACGTCCCATTTGACAAATCGCTCATATTAAAAGATATTCCAGAAATTAAAACGCCATTCTTCTTTACTTTGAAAAACCTTTTAAATAAGCAGCTATTATTTTTTACTTCATAGGCACTTTAAACAATGATTCTCAGCTGATGTGGCTGTGATTTAACGACCGATAATAATTAGGCATCTATTTCTACGAATAGTATATACTTTGAAGAATTATATGGTACTTTCACGATATTAAAATAATTATATGACGCATCTTGCATGATGAAAATTTAATTCATCTCATGTTTCAACTTAGCCGTGCGATAGTTATTTGAATGAAAACAGAAAAACGAGTAAAAACAGTTCCTTTGCAAATAATTTCACCACACAAACAGAATGATTATGAAATATGACAAAAACAAGGTAACAACAATGAACTTATCAATATTTATCTTCGCTACTTGATTGAATTATTTGAAATTAACTGTGTTTGAGACAAAGTGGAAGTCGATTGTTGAGCAACTTTTGGTAGTTAGAGATGTGTTTATTTAGCTATGCGTTCTATTTTTGCGCGCGCTCTTGTCGTTTAGATTTGGCGTAATATTTTCTCCTACTGTTCTTTTGGATGTATTTTTGCGAACGTTCCCAAACTCATTAATAATTTGTCAAGTTATGACAAAGGAAACACGATCGTGACGGTGTTTGAATACTGATCTTAATTTGCGTAGATTTTTACGATTTTATTTCCCCGTTTCCTCCTTAACATTAGTTTCGGTTGAGAAGATATAGCAAACACGAAAGACTGTGCTTGACCACATTTCCAAACACCCTGAATCTCGTCAAAATACACCGCTACGAGTCGTTTTTTCCCGTATTTTCGTATTTTCTACTCTCTTTTCGGTGTTTGGAAATTTGTTAAAACACCGTCTCTCGTATTTAAGACGGATTCCGCTCAAAGTTCGAGCAATAAATGCAAAAAATACTTACGAAAAATTTACTCATAGCACGGTAACATTTGGAATACTATTTAAAATAACTCACTTTAGTTCATTTATCTAAGTGACCCCGTGATTAAATTCTCAAGCATTTTCGAGAAAGTAAATGTCAAACGTCGTAAGAATGCTTAAAGCGTGTGTTATTGTGTTTTTAACTAACGCGAAACGTCTCTATTAATTGAAATATGGATAGCTTCAAGTTCAATATTCTGTCTTTTCTCTCGCGGGGTTAGCTTGAGAGCTTAAAGTCGCGATAAGTTCTTCTCATCTGTATTCAAAATATTGCCATGCCATTAAGATTTTTTTGGTAACTTAATTTCCGGCATTATTGCTCGAACGTTCTAAGGAAATCATCTTAATCCATACTTGAACAAACAAGTTAACGAAATTTTAATCAGCGAGGTTTTAAAAAACCTCGCTAATAATGTAAAAGGCACTAAATTAATGTTATGGATCACTCTCAGTATACCGTAATGTTCTATATTGCGTAGCATTATTTTATTTCCCAAATATTACAAATACTTGGGTTATAAATTCAAACGTTTTAAATAAAAAGTGTAATTTTTCGAGTTGAATTTGAATAATGAAGAGGCCAAGCATGACCTTGAAGTTGCAACTGACAAAAATGGGATTTTGCCCTCTGTCGGTTTGTACAGTAGAATGAAAATATTTGTATTTGCGGTCAACTCTAGGAGACATTTCTCTCCTTTTTTGGTGATTTATTTTAAAGATCAAAAGAAAAGAACACAGAATTAGAAGTAATTTTGGCTTTTTCCGTAAATGTCATGCTTAACTTCTCTGTAATGGTTGTTACATCCAAACGCGATTTATCATATTTTGCCATAAAATTATCAATAGTTTTCATCATGTCGCTGTTTGTAATATGTTATTTTTGTCTTTTTGTTTTCAGGAATGAAGGACTTCAATAGCACTATTAAGCTACTGAAGACTGATGCTCCCCGATGAAGAAGCTAGCTGACATAATCGAATTTGTCGTAATCTGCACATATATTTACAGTATTATCAATAAAGACGGGAAAAGGTTCTGTGGACGGTTTATGAAAATTAAGACAAGGAAATTGCTTTACGTGTAAGAAACAATTTTAGTCTTTTGACGGGAAAGTAATTGCGCTTTTCCGATTATTCACTCGAATCGAAAAGTCTTTTGGCGAGAAGAAATTCAGCTTATAGAACTTGTTAGATGTTTGGTCAAAAAAATTTTAAGTCTTTTGGCGGGAAACAGTAGTATGCGCTTTTAAACGGTGCCTGGAAATTTTTCAAAAAATATACTTAGTCTTTTGGCGGGAAAAAAGTCTGCGCTTCTAAATGGAGTCCAGAGATTAGTCAAATATAAACTAAGTCTTTTGGCGGGAAAAATCTGTGCAGTTTGCAGTCAGATTTGGCCCATCGAAAGTCGGCGTTTACTTTGACTTGTTACTGGACTCTGTTTAAAAGTGCAGAACGTTTTTCCGCTTCGGCAACCCTACATAGTCAAAAATTAGTAAAAGAGATAGCCTACATTTCGACTAGCTTCCAGGCCCCTTTAAAAGCGCGCATTTTTTATTAAGTGGTACAAGACTCATTTGTTGATTAAAATATTGTTTCTTTATTTTAATTCAATAAAGTATTAAGTTGATAACTGATTTATAAGTTGTGATCTTTATTGAGTATATACTGAAAGTGTGAAAACTCTTTAACATACTACTAAGTCAATAGATGCAGAGTAATCTTACGAGTCGAAAGCTTTCTCGGTATCTATTGATCATGGTAATCATTTAAAGCAGTTCACAATTAAGGACTAAGCCTGACAAATATCTAAGAAATAATTACAACAATCAAAGGAAATGAGAATACAATAATTCGAAATTGGAATTGCCGATTCAAGTTATTTTGCAAGCAAACTGGAAATTAAGAAAGAAAATTAAAGTAACAGAGCTTAAGTCCATCGCGTAAATTTCTAGCAACAAATATGTCAGAACTACAAACAATGTCTTGCCAACTAAGCGCGGATCCATGCAAAGAAACCACACGAAAATATAACTAGAGTAAGTCCTACTAAAAGAAATTCGGGCAGAAGGTCCGTGTTGTCAGCGAGATAAACTTTCACGATTTATTGCGTCGTAAAACTCTAAAACAAAAACTTCCAAAATTTTACATAAAGTTGAACGTCGAAAAATGAAAATAGGCAGTCTCTGGAGAAATATGGCGAAATATTTTGGAAGAAATCACAATTAATTTAGCCACAAGAGGAACACAAAATTAACTTTAAAAATAATAGAAAAAAAAAACAGTAAAATGAACTAATCAAAGTTGCTTAGCCGACATTAAAGTTAGGACTGGTTGTAAACGTACGGCAAGATTTTAGAATTGGAAATATTCACAATCAATTGCGCCGTACATGTATTTTATTCCTTTAGAAATTTTAAATCAAATTGCATATAACTGACCTAAAAGTTATTTCTCTGGTTTACAAAACTTAGGTCCACGTGCTTCCAAGTTTGAAAGCTAAATTATCCTTGAAAAGCACACATTTCTTTTAGTTTTACTTATGAGAATTTGAACGTGAATCAAGGCGACATTTCCTAGTTCAAGTCTCGACACCTAAATGAATCTGTACGACGAAGTTAGATGTACTAATTGTCTTGGAAATTAAAGATTTTATAGTTTTTCGAATTCGGAATAACTAACTATCAGTTGTTTTTATCTAACGAGTCACATAAAACGGAAACCATACAAAATGATGTAGTCTCTTCTTCCTGTCCTACGGCATGTGGCGTCCTCTAGAATCCACGTGAATCTATCCCTGTGTCCCGCAGCAATGTTGAACAAGGAGCCACTCGATCTGTAAAAAGTAAAAATATTACTTTAAATTCGGCCTCACTAAACAAAAACCGTACTGAAAAATTTCTACAAATGTTAAATCACTTGAGGGCGCAAACACACACCCGCAAAACAATGCAAACACATGATACAGCCGCCTTAATAAACATCTGTTTGGTAATTAGGGGAATAGCACTTCATATGTAATACTCAATTTCCATGCAATATATTCAGAGTTACTGGGGAAAAAATAAGAATTTGATCAGAGTCTCCCAGTTTCAATTTATTTGACACTTAAGAAACCACGTGGTAAATTTGCATCAGAATAAGAAAGTCAATGGCTTGTTGAAGGTCATTCAAGGTCACCCAGCTTTGTCAGGAGTGTTTAATGCAATTCTCCACAATTTGGCATTTCATCCGTTGTTTTTTAAACATCTCAAATTGAAGCATACCATCTATACACAGCTTGAAATAAGACAGTTTTGGTTGAAATTTTCTGATTTCAAGTTGGTTGTCAATTGCGAAAGTATGTGGAAACCAACATGGTGGCTACCTTGAATACGTGCCACTGAAGTTCATTTAAGTTCACCCACATTATGCAGGAACGTATTAAGGCTTGGTCCGAGCCATCGAAAAGCTTGCA